TAAATTTCCACCCTTTCACAGACATCTCAAAAAATTTATCTCCCAAGCATCCTTTCTTAAGAAGCAGTTATAGGATGTGCTACAGCAAAATTAGAGAGTAAACTTAGACATAAGACTGTGGGGCCAGCGATGGTGGCTCAGGCTGAGATAGGAGGATTGCTTGAGGTCTGGAGTTGGACACAAGCCTGGACAACATTGTTAGACCCTGTCTCCTCAAAAATAAGAATAAAAAAATTAGCCAAGTGTGGTGGTACTAGCCTGTAGTCCTAGCTACTCAGAAGGCTGAGGCAGGAAGATCACTTGAGCCCAGGAGTTCGAGGTTACATTGAGCTATGATCATGCCACTGCACTCCAGCCTGGGAACAGAGGGAGACCTTGTCTCTTAAAAAAAAGAAAAAGAAAAAGAAAAGAACATGGGATATAGGAGCTCAACCCAGTAGAGAGGTGAAGGAGTTCATAAGAGGATGAGGAGGCAGGGCTGGCCTCAAAGTCAACCAGGGCAGATTGTATGTAGTAGAGTAGCTTAAGAGACAGACAAGTTGAGGGCTGTCATCACTAAAATGCCTGCTGTCAATCTATTACCTGTTTTTTTTTTTTTTTTTTTTTTTTTGAGACAGAGTCTCACTCTTTTGCCGGGGCTAGAGTGCCGTGACGTCAGCCTAGCTCACAGCAACCTCAAACTCCTGGGCTCAAGCGATCCTTCTGCCTCAGCCTCCCAAGTAGCTGGGACTACACGCATGCGCCACCACGCCCGGCTAATTTTTTCTATATATATTTTAGTTGTCCAATTAATTTCTTTGTATTTTTAGTAGAGACGGGGTCTCGCTCTTGCTCAGGCTGGTTTCGAACTCCTGAGCTCAAACAATCCACCCGCCTCGGCCTCCCAGGGTGCTAGGATTACAGGCGTGAGCCACTGCGCCCGGCCTCCTGTTTTGTTTTTTAAAAATTTGAGATTAAATTAATATAATATGAGGTGAAACATAACAAAATTAGCCATTTGAAAGGGAACCATTCAGTGACATATAGTATTCACAGTGTTGTACAACCAACACCTCTATCTACTTCTAAAACACTTTCATCATCCCAAAAGAAAACTCTGTACCCGTAAGCAGTACCTCCTGATTTCCCCCAGGTCCTGCAACCACCAATCTGTGTTCTGTATCAGTAGTGAGTTTGAGGATTTTGATCAGCACCAAAAGGAAAAAGACATGACCACAAGGTGGCAGTGGCACCCAAGGAGCTTTAGGTGGGCAGTGCTTTGACAGGATTGCCTGCCACAAGAGGGGACCTCCATCACATCAGAAGACCTTCTAGAGACACGGTCATGGGTGCCACAACCCAGAAGCGGGGGAAGACAAGGAAACTCCCCAGGGAGAGGGGCTTATGTGACTAGGTGAAGTCACTCTGTGGCAAGGTGGAGAATCTCTAGGTCAAAGAGAGCTAAAGGACAGCTATGGCTTAGGGTCATTTAAAGACTTGAGGTTGTCTTATCAACAGCTAGTAATGTTGTGCAATTATATGGGGTATGCAAAGCAGACAAGCTCTAAATGGCTAAAAATATGCTTACTGGGGCTATTTTAAAGCAACTGGATGTGTAAACATTTTGGGCTTTTGAGCTGAAGGTCCTAGCCTGCTGTGAAGAAGTAAAAAACATATGGGCCAACATACAAGGACATCTTTTGGCTCATTTATATAACAATCTCTATGGATTTACCATTCTGGAATTTCATATAAATGAAATCATGCAATATTTGACCTTTTACATCGGGCTTCCTTCACTTAGCATAATATCTTCAAGGTTCATCCATGTTGTAGCACATGTCAGATGCTACATTCTTTAAAAAGAATTTCATTCCTTTTAAAGGCTAAATAATATTCCATTGTATGGCTATTCCACAATGTGTCTATCATTCATATCTGTTGATGGACATTTGAGTTGGTTCCACCTTTTGGCTACTGTGAATAGTGCTGCTTTGAACTGGAGAATAAAACATGGTTCTCACTTGTCTTTTGCTTGTCTGGACTATTTGTGGATGCAGTTCCTGCTTTCCCCTTTAGGTCCTGCTGTGTGGATCAGCTGAGAGCACTCATTTGCCCCACAGAAAAGTTCTGCTTTGACCGTCTCCTGAGAACTTGGTGTAGGCCATGGTGAACTCAAAGCCAGAAAAAAACACAGAGCACTCTCCCCACATCATATTTCCTATTACATTCTCAGTCTCCTTCCCTGATGTGGTCAGCCCCATGAATAGGACTCACTCATGCTAACATCTTAACAAGAGCTCATAAACTCTCAGAGAATTTGGCCCCAACTATGACCCAGGAAAGACCTGTCTCTGACACATGCTGGACTTGGCTCAAAAGTGCAAATGGAGGTCTACGTATCATATGCCACCAAGTTTCTCCTCCTATCACCCAGTCCAGGCTAGGCTAGCTGTGGTCCATCTTCCTGCTAGCATCTTATTTTATTACTGAAAGGAATCTGAGGTTGCAAGGGCAGGTTTGAATTTAGAATTCTTGGACTCTCAGTCAAGCTCCCAGGCAGCCCCCTTCTCTTCCCACCTTGGCACCCTCCCAACCAGTGAGGGGCCTTGTGTGCATGGATGTGTATCCTCCAGCCCAGCTGTCTACACTCCTTTAACACTTCTTACAAACTACTGCCTTGCGGCTACCCCATGGATCTAACCAGAAGCAGCACGGCCCGCCTCTGAGAAGATGGACCTGAGGAAGCAGTCCATGAAGGCTCTGGAAGTTGGCTTGGACTGTTTGTGCAGGAAATTCTGGGGTTCTAGGTAACAGGAACATGGTCTAAAAGGGGCACAGACTAGGGGACAGCCTGGTCCCTTAGCTCCTTAGACTTTTCTAAAGGGCCTGTTTCAAGGTGGTACTGACCCACATACTTATCTAACTCAGCCTTACACAGCTGCTTGCTCCTCAGGTTTCCAAAGTAAGTAACAGAATATTTAGAGATAGACACCTTGTGTGAAATATAAGGAAATGCAGGGGAATGATTAACCCAACAGTTAGGACAATAGTTATCTCTGGGAGGATGGAGAGGGACGATTGTAGAGGTGCAGAGGGTGGCTTCTAAAATGCTGCTTAACCTGGAAGCGGGTATACAGTGTTCATTTTATTATTATTCTTTAATCTATCTATCTATCTATCTATCTATATAAAACCAAGAGTAGACATCCAAAGTGAGAATATGAGGCAAAATAATTAACAATTAAATACTTAATCAGACAATACCTGGCTAATGTTCTTTAACACACAGGTGATAAAGAAAGAAGGGCAGAAATTACATGTATTGTCTTATTCAATACCTATTAATTATTTTGCCTCATATTTCCGCTTCGGATATCTAATCTTGGTTTTACTCCTGTAAGACTTGGTAATGTTCAATAATAAATAGATACCATGTTAACTACCACTCCTAATTTCCTGCCTCAGTGTAATATTCATTTTCTCAAACTTGCTATTTTCAAACAAGAGAAATAAAAACAAAAATTTAAGATAAATTCAGCTACAATGCTTTACTTACTATACAAAGTGCCCAATATTTTTATTTATCTTTTTAGGATCATTTCTGTCTTCAAAAGAGAAATATTTATCTGAGGATTTACTACATGCTCAACATGCTGGAACACTTGAGGTTCTCATAGTCTGATGGACAAGGCAGATACCTCAATATTGAAAAACATGTTTAATGTCGCAGTTGGTGTAAGTGGTGTGTGCAAAGGATCAAGAATGTATGATAGTCGCTAGGCCATGCCAAAGTCAATTGGTTCAGCTTATTTATTCTAGTGCTACATCTATGTGGTAATACACTGACAGAGGGCAATGAGGAATACATGATACTCAAATGGTATATTATCAAATAACACTAATTAAGCAAGCATCACACACACACACACACACTGAGGGCTACAGAGTATACATTTTGCAAAGCAATGGCCCTATCTACCTCCTAATGCCCGAACTTTCTACCTAGAAATTTTTACCCATAGTACTTAAAGCATTTTTATGGGGAGCTCGACTATTCTTTCAAGTTCAAAGCATTTAAAATTAGCTAAATTTTAAATCCCACCATGGCTGTCCTAGGCCTTATGATTTCAAATAAAGCTAAAGCAAGGAATTCAACATAAATACGGATTGAGCTATTATTATGTTTGAAGCCTTGTGCTAAAAGTATGGTACAAGGTTGATTCGGTCAGGGAGAAGCACAAGGAAAGGCACTTGCAGACAACAGTGACATGTCTAGTAAAAATTCTGTGGCTATTTCTTTCTAATTTAAGAACTATTTTTTTTGCTACAAAAGAAACCCAAATTTTGCAAAAGATGCATTTAATTTTCTCAATCTGGGTCAATCTCGTGGTTGCTAAAATGGTATATACGTACTTTCTGGACTACTCGTTATTTAAAAATACTGAATTTTGCCCCATTGTCAGACCATTTGTTCCAATTTCAGGTTAAAGAAATAGGAACACTATTCCTAGCCCACGGCATCTCCCGCCAACTCTCACTGCCTAATTTTCTACCAACAGAGGTCCATGCTTTTTCATCCGAAAGTGGGCATGATGGAAAGAGACGCAGAAACCTACGTGGGTTTCAATCCTAGAGTGCTCTGTCAAAAAGTCCCTAATCGACTTTTCCACGTCACTCAAATGCAGGGCTGCATTAAACAGCCTCTTCAAGGTCCCTTGCATCTGCAGACTTCTGCGATTAAAACGCATCTCTTCTTGGAAGAATTCACATAAAGTCCCTGCAGGAAATTGGTTACTGAGGCCCAGGACAAACACAGTGTAGGAGCGAATCTGGTTTCTCTTTGAAAAGCCTTCCTGGGGTGAGCATCTCGCGCCTGCAACAGAAAGCGCCCCGGCACCACGTGTCTGCGCCAGCTGCTGGATTGGCGGAGAGCATTTTAGCGTTGCGGTCTAGACCCGCGCGGTCCCGCCCAGCTGCCAGAGGAGCCAGGCGGCGGAGGGAAGAGGGCGAAGGAAGATCGCGGAGGGGAGGGGGGCGGGAGGGGGGTGGGACATCCCGAGTCGTCCGCGGCCCGGAGTCTTGGAGGACCCGCTACGGCGCCAGGCGACCCGTCTCGCCACAACTTGCCCAGGCGAGACACACGTTTTATCCTGCGCCCTGAAAGAAGGAGCCGGCCCGCCTCTACAGCTCAGCAGCTCCTCGGCCTCTGCGGGCCCTGCCTGCGCCAGCAGCGCCCCTAGGATCTGGGTCTCCTGTGTCGCCCCCGTCAGCCTGCAGCGCCCGGCGCCCGACCAGGAGCGCGCAGCTGGGGTGAGCCGAAACCGGGGATGCGCCAGGCGCCCGCGGGAGCCAGTGGTAGAAGGGGCATCTCAGTGCCCGCGAAGCCGGGCCCTCCGCCCGCCTCTGCCAGCTGCGAGCCGAGCCGCTGCAGATCCAGCTGGGGTGGCCGCCGCAGCCCCCACTCCCTGTTTGCCTTCTAAGGAGGGGCGCCAAGGCCCCAAAGGAGCCCGCGTCTCTCGGCCTTTGTTGCTGCGGGTTCGGCTGGCCGGCCGTGCCATGCGCCCGGGACGGGAGGCGCCGCGCAAGGCTGGGGGCCCTGCCCAGGATCGGGGACGGAGAGAACGGGAAAGCGTGCCCCCTTCTTAATGTTCCGGCCATCTTGTGACCGAGATTCCACCAAAGGGGGCAAGGATGGCCAACAGCTCGGCGCCCCAGGCTGGAGTGGTGGCGGCGAACCGGAATGGGCGCCTCGGGCCCGCGCGCCTCCTTGCCAGGACCGCAGTGGGGGCTAGCGGGCCGCCCCCACACTCAGCTCTTGGCTCAGAGCATAGGTTAATGATCTCTAACAGGCCAGAGGCAGCGAAATAGAAGGGATAAGGGGCCGGGAGCTGACATTTCCTTAACTAAGCGACTAATTCGTTCTATGGTTTTTTATTCACGTGGTCATTCGGCAAATTTTGAACGCCTTCTCGGTGCCGGTCCTGTGTTAGGTGCTGGGGATATATCGGTGAGCAAGAGAGACCACGGCCCTTGTTGCCGCTGATCCTGTAGCCCAGTGGATGGAGCCCAGAGTCCACAGACCTGCCAGGTCGGTGTCCTGATGCATGGGGAAACTGAGGCCTAGGGGGGTGACCTAATTTGCTCTAGGTCAGGCAGCAGGTAACTGGAAGACTCAATTTTTGAACGATCTGTCTTTAGGACTTTTATGCTAGGCTGCAGTGAATTGTTAATAGTTCTTTTTAATCTAAAGGCCCATTAAAATTATTTGTATGTATGATTTATATGAAGCCATAGGAAGTGTATGTTTTATTTCCTGGATACTTTTGTATGGGTTTGTTTCTGGTTCGCAATTATCTGGAAAGTGCTAAAAATATTTGATATTAGAACTTTGCTTCCAGTTACTCTGAATTGTATTTTCCTTTCTTCTGTTCATATATTTGACTGTTAGGAAAGAAAAAAAATTTCCTGATGGTTGGTCCAAGCACAGACTCCCCGGTGGATTGAGGAATGTCTGCCTTTTCCTCAGTTTGTCGCTATCTGTGGTAACCACTGGTGGCCCCCAAAAGACCCAAAGAATGAGAGGCCTGAGGTCTACGAGTTGCTGCTAAAAGTATTTTAGCCTCTCCAGAAAACAGAATGCAGCCCCCAGCCAAGTTTGTAAGGTAAATACCGTGGCCTTGTAAAACTTGATGGTAAAGCTGGTGGTTAAGTTCCCCTCCATCTGTTTTTGTCTTCAGTGTTTTGAGAATATATCCTTTTGGAAAGACAAGTAGTATATATGTGGAGAAGTTCTTTGGTTTGTACTTTTATCAAAATGTAGTATTTAGGCTGCCAACCCATAGAGGAAGACTCCACTTAAAAAGTATCTTGGATGTAAGAAATTTAGAAAGCCTGCCATCAAATATGATTAACTACAAATTTAATTTTGTAAACGTGCTTGAGGTTTAACACACAAAATGCACCCTTAATTTTTAAGTGTATAATTCGATGAATTTTGACAAATATATATACCCAGGTAATCAACACCGCAATCAAAATGTAGAACATTTCTATTATCCCAGAAGTTTCCTCATGCCCTTTTGCAGCCAATCTCCCTTGACCCATTTAATTTTATATAGCTTTGTTGCTTGACTTTCTCGAAGTTGTGTGTAAAAGATGAGGATGAATAGATATTTCTAATTTCAAAACCTAGGGCGTGGGCTGGGCGCGGTGGCTCACGCCTGTAATCCTAGCTCTCTGTGAGGCCTAGGCGGGCGGATTGTTTGAGCTCAGGAGTTCGAAACCATCTTGAGCAAGAGCGAGAACCTGTCTCTACTAAAAATAGAAAGAAATTAATTGGACAACTAAAAATACATAGAAAAAATTAGCCGTGCATGGTGGCGCATGCCTGTAGTCCCAGCTACTTGGGAGGCTGAGGCAGGAGGATCGCTTGAGCCCAGGAGTTTGAGGTTGCTGTGAGCTAGGCTGACGCCATGGCACTCTAGCCCGGGCAACACAGTGTGACTCTGTCTCAAAAAAAAAAAAAACAAAAAAAAACCTAGGGCGTGGACAGGAGTAAACAAGCATAGGATGGCAGCTAGGACCAAAAATTCCCAAGGATGTGGCTCCCCACGTCTGCCTTAGGGACATGGAGTGGCCCTCCCCAAAGGCCAGGGAGGGTGGTGCCCTCTCCGGGTGGGCGGATGTGCCCACTCGGCCTCATCCATGAGGTCTTCTCCGGTCCCGCAGGGCCCTGGGCGCACGCTGACCGCGCGGCGCGCCCGTTACTCAGTCCAGACCTGGGCGCTGCCATAGAACGGCCTGGACGCCCAGACCTTAGGCCGCCGCCGCCGCCGGGGATCCGGCCTTCTCCAGCTCCCGAGGCGAATGGCAGCGGCGGCCTGCGAGGCGGCCCCAGCTGGGTAGACAAGACCGCCCCGCATCTCCGGTGCAAGCAGAGGCGTCGGATTGGCTTACAAGCATGGTAAGAGGCGGAAGGCCGGGGGACGCCGGGCTGCGGACCACCGACCCCGACAACAGGACGCCCACCTCCCCACCCTGCCTGCCTCCCATCCCACCCCCGCCTCCCGCCGTGCTCTCTCTCTCCCGCAGCCCTTCCCGAAGCACGTCTACTATCGGCTCGCAGGCTGCCCGGAGGGGCCCGACGCCTCTGTGGCCGCCGCGGGCGCTGCTGCCATGGCCTGTGTCCCCCCCAGCGCGGCTTCGGGCCCCATGCCCTTCTTTCAGTTCCAGCCGCGGCTGGAGAGCGTGGACTGGCGGCGGCTGAGCGCCATCGACGTGGACAAGGTGGCGGGGGCCATGGACGTGCTGACGCTGCAGGAGAACATCATGAACATCACCTTCTGCAAGCTGGAGGACGAGAAGTGCCCGCACTGCCAGTCCGGGGTGGACCCGGTGCTGCTGAAGCTCATCCGCCTGGCGCAGCTCACCATCGAGTACCTGCTGCACTCGCAGGAGTTCCTCACCTCGCAGCTGCGCACCCTGGAGGAGCGGCTGCGCCTGAGCCACAGCGACAGCGAGGAGAGCAAGAAGCTGATCAGCAAGCAGGCCGGGGAGATCAAGCTGCTCAAGGAAGAGTGTAAACTCAGGAAGAAGATGATCTCCACCCAGCAGCTGATGATCGAGGCCAAAGCCAGCTATTACCAGGTGGGGCACTGCGCTGTGAGCATATTCATAATCCAGTAAACAACACAGTTCCCATTTGAGAGGGCTTTCCTATATCACCACTCTTAAAGATTTGTACTGGATATCAGAAGACACAGCCTATTTAAGCAAGAACAGTCATTTTAACCAACAAATGACATGGTTCAATACCTTCTGCCGACAACCAGGGGATTAATAATTAAACAACTAACGTTGTCAGCATTTTTATTGAAGTCCTTTAAATACTGATTGTTCAAACTGTTTCCTCCTCCTAATGGATGTCATGAAAAATCAACCATGCACAGATTGCTGTTGAAGTCAGCCCCAAACGATCTGGAATGTTTAAATTTGTGGGTTTTTTCACACTTTTTAAAAATTTTGAAATATTTTCAAACCGACAGAAGAGTTACCAGACGAGTACAAATAACTTTCATATACCTTTAACCCAGATTGACCAATTATCAATGTTTGGCACATTTCCTCTATCTCTATATACATACCGTTATTACTTTTGAACCATTTCACAGTGAGTTGAAGCTTCCTACATATTTCGATATGTGTATTTCCTAAGAACAAGAACATCCACTTACATAACAACAGTATTTTAAAGAATGAGACATTTTTGTTTTTCAAGTCTTAATCTCCAACTGTTACAGATTAGACATTGAGTCCAAGGTAAATATTGCAATTTTTGAGCATAACAGAAACCAAAGCATGTCCTTTTTATCGATTAGTTGGAGGACATGCAAAAGGTATAAACAATGTTTGATAAAGATATTGAAGTAAGTAACAGATTGGCAAGATTAATTTCACACCCACACTTTCTAGTCATTTTGGCTAACTATGGTTTAAAAGGCCTCATTGGATTTAGGACTATTGGGCCAGAAGCTTGCCTGAATGTTGGAGAACTGGGTTTAGGGCAGAGAAAATGGTGCAACTAGCATTGCTTAGGACGGACCCAGCAGGAGTACTGAGAGAAGCGTACTTAAGATAGGTGAACAGTTGGGAAAGAACACTGTTAGAAAGACTAGTGTTTGGCCTTGGATAGACAACTCTGAGGTATAATCTTCAAATGATATTTGACATCACTAATTGCCTATTTTTTTTGTAAATGCAATTTAAAAATTAAATATTTATAAATAGTGCTAAGATGGCTTTTTTCTCATACAGTGAATAGAAAGAATTCTATGTAAACATTTTAAAAAAGTATATTATGCTCTAGCTTTGGTAGTCATCTAATTAAAGGTTAAAATTTCTAACATATGGAAATTTTATGTTTATAAATTTTTTTATTCCTTTGGTTACCATAGAAATAGCTGTTAGTAAGTAAAGATTTTGAAATGTGAATGATATGTAAGGACAAAAAGGTAATGACTCTACTTTATCAAATGAGTGATACTTGCCAACTCCTGACAACTCCACAGACTCTAAATGACAGTGTTGACCGTGGTATGCTCAGGTGTGACCTCAAAGAGGTAGGTGTGATTAGACCACCTTTTCCTACTTAGTGTAGTACAGGTACACTCTGTTCTCTGTTAAGTGGCTTGTCATTGTGTTTTTTTTTTTTTTTTTTTTGAGACAGAGTCTCACTGTGTTTCCCGGGGTAGAGTGCCGTGGCGTCATCCTAGCTCACAGCAACCTCAAACTCCTGGGCTCAAGCGATCCTTCTGCGTCAGCCTCCCGGGTAGCTGGGACTACAGGCATGCGCCACCATGCCCGGCTAATTTTTTCTATATATATTTTTAGTTGTCTGATTAATTTCTTTGTATTTTTAGTAGAGACGGGGTCTCGCTCTTGCTCAGGATGGTTTCAAACTCCTGAGCTCAAACAATCCACCCGCCTTGGCCTCCCAGAGTGCTAGGATTACAGGCATGAGCCACCGTGCGGGGCCATTGTGTTTTTATTGAGCCTGTGAGCAGTGAGTGCTTAAGGGCAACAATTCCAGAGTTTGACAGCCTGCATTTGAATCCCAGCTGACCACTGAGCAAGCCGTTTAACTTCTAAACCTCAGTTTCCTTGTCTGGAAAATGGGGACATTAGTAGTACCTGTTAGGGTTGCTCTCAGAACTCCATTAGATCTGTACTCTCCACCCTACCTGAGCTCTGTCCTCCCCAGTGCAAAAATTGCCTTCCATGAAACTTAGGAACCCGGACTGCACAGCAGGAAGTGAGCAGAGGTGAGCAGGATACGAGCAAGCTAAGCTTCATCTGTGTTATCTGTACTTACAGCTGCTCCCCATGGCTGGCATCACCACCTGAGCTCTGCACCCCACCCCCACCCTCAACCCCGATCCGTGGAAAAATTGTCTTCCATGAAACCAGTCCCTGGTGCCAAATAGGCTGGGGACCGCTGCATTAAGTGATGCACAAGAAGCCTGAGATGTGGATGTTGGTTTCTGCAGTGGCCTCCTGGTAGCGAGCTGTGATGACTTGTGGTCTCTCTGTGAATCTGAGACCTTTTTTAGGAGCCCACTGAAGAGCAGGGGGTATAGAAAAGAAGGCCATAGGCCACGGTACAGCTGCTATAGGAATCAGTCTTTCAGGGAGGGGTGGCCAAAGACTGCCACTAATGACACGTAAGCTGGTGGGCTCTATGATGTTATAATCATTGTAACTCCAGGTTTGTAAGGTGGGGATGTGTGGCCTGTGATAAAATTTATGGAAAGACAATTGATTTTCTTTAAATAGTTGTTTAACTTTAAGATGCAGTCATGAATTTATGTTTAATAGAGACCTCCCAACAGCTGGGGAAGTCTGATGGCCACGTACAAAGGCCAGTGTGTACCAGTGATCTTACTATCACATTATTTTTAAAAATTTCAACATTTCAATATACCAGCATTTTGTTTGCCAGTGAATGATAACAAGACTTAGACTCATTCTAAGAAGACCTTGTGTTTACATAACTGGAATACTCAGATTCCTCTTTGTGCCCTGGCAACACACGCGGATTTTGGAATCTGTCAGGGAATTTCTATTCCTGGTTCCAATTATTCAGCTTTTTGAGTTGGAGACAAATGTTGGGAGTAGAAAAAGCAAGCATTTTGCAGTCAGAGGGACATAGGTGAAAATATATAACTGATAATACTGTGACTTAATGTTTCTGAGCTTTGACTTCCTCATGGGTGAAGTGGTTGCTATGGAAATTAAATAAGGATGTGACAGGATCTGTCTCAGTAGGCACAGTGGAAATATTGGTTTCTTTATCCACCATCCCCGGCAGTTGTCTTAGAGAGGTCTCAAAAAACAACTGGAAGAATAAAGAGCTTCCATCCTACTTAGTTTTGGTGAAGGAATCCTAAGTTCTCATGTTAATTTCTTTACACTAAATCTTTTTCATTTTTTCACGATTCAACATATTCTATCTTTGGGATTATTAAGGAAAGAGTGTCAGATTCATTTCTATGAATGTTTAATAGAATGATCACTTTCCTTAATTCATCATGTTGCTTTTTTTCTTTTCTAACATGCTTTCAGGGATACTCCTTCCAAATAGAACTTTGTTGATACAGACATACACATATATTTATCATGTATTCCTATATATACATAACTATTTTTTAAAGAAAATTCAAAGAGTTTTACAGGATAAACTTTTTTTTTTTTTGAGACAGGGTCTCTCTCTGTTGTCCAGGCTAGCATGCAGTGGTGTCATCGTAGCTCACTGCAACCTCAAAGTCCTGGGCTCAAGCAATCCTCCTACCTCAGCCTCCCTAGTAGCTGGGACTATAGGCATGTGCCATCACACCAGGCTAATTTTTCTATTTTTTGTAGAGACAGAGTCTCACTCTTGCTCAGGCTGGTCTCGAACTCCTGGCCTCAAGCAGCCCTCCCGCCTCGGCCTCCCAGAGTGCTAGGTTTATAGGCTTGAGCCACCTCACCCAGCCTCAACAGTATCTCTTTTATTCCTCGCTTTTTCTGATTTATTTCTTCTGCGATGATGTTTTGGCTCTTATTTTGTTTTTTTGTATTTTATCTTTGTTTTTTCAACTCATTCTGGTTTTTAAGAAACCATCTCGTATTTATAGAATGCATGCTCCTCTTGTGTTCTGTGGTATGAGTGAAGAGATTGTGAAGAACATTTTTTTTGTTCCTTCCTCGGTTTATAGGCCCCCTGCCCTCAGTAATTTTTATCTTTGCATGCCATTTTCTCCCCTCTTTCTTCCTTTCTTTCTCTCCTCTCTTTCTTCTTTCCTTCCGTCCTCCCTTCTCCTTTCCCTCCTCCCTTCCTCTTCCCCCACCCCGCTCTGATGGGATGGTGTGTTTACACTATCTCTGTCATTACTGTGCCATTTCTCTCATCTTACTCGTGCTTAGGCAGCCCTGCTGGTAGAATGGCAGTATTACAGCTTGAAGGCTGAATGTGTCCTGTTCCTGTTTGCTGTAGCCTGAGGGAATTGGAGGTTGCAAAGGGCGGGTATCAGATGGAACAACTTGTTGGAGTCCCTTCTGGCCACATGTGAACACTGGGGTGGGGCCGGGGAGTGAGGGAGGCAAGGTGTCCTCCTCCTTTCCTTTCTGCAGTGCTGTCCACAGCCCTGGAGCCTGTATTTACATCCGAGTCAGTGAGGGCAGTCCCTGAAGTCCTGTGTGTGAACCAGAACAGTTACCATGAGCAGAAGAGACGCTTTAAGGATTCTCTGAAATGCAATTGCTGAGAAATATGCCAGAATGTTGGTTTTAGAAACCAAAGACCAAAGTCTGGATGCAGTTAGACTGATTAAGAGTAAGGCAGGATGGTGAACAGAAGAACATGTTAAATGACATAACGGAGATGAAAATAGCAAAATCCAGACTGAGAGAAACTCTGCAGGACAAGCTTTGGTCCCATCAGCGAAAGGATAGCAAAGAAAAAAATTGGTGCAGGGGAAACCTATGGACTAGTAGAGAGTTAAGAGACGTAACAACCAGTTGCAGGAGTTGGGCCCTATTTGGATCCTGTTCCAAAACAAACTGAAATTTTTTCCTAAGACACTATGTGAAATATTAGGGAAATACAAACAAATGGTTGGATATTATTGATATTAAGGATTTGGTTTTCACATTTTAGAATGTGGAATAATGGTATTATGATTGTGTTGAAAGAAAGTCCTTTTAGAGATATATTTTGAAATATTTACAAGTGGGATTTACTTCACAGTAATACAGGGGTGAGGCTATAGATGAAACAAATGGAATTTTTGCCTAAAATTTGAATCAATGTTAAAGTGGAAAAATAGAGATATTGGTGGAATTGATTTTTTTTCCTCAGAAAATTCGTTTTAGTGGGCCATATATTTCCAAGCATTTTTTTCAGTCATGTATTAATGCTGTGCTCTGGGGATAAAGCCATGGATAGGACAGGCAGAGTCCACGCCCTCAGGAAGCTACGTTCTAGATTCTGGGGGGATTGGATAGGAAACACTAAACCAGTGAGATAAATAAATGTGAAAATATTAGCTGGTGAGATGTACGCTGATGAAAATAAGACAATGTGACGTGACAGTGACTGGCGGGAGGATCTTCAGGGAAGACTTGTTGAGGACGTATGGTCATCCCCGGTAAGAAAGGTCCTCCATGAACGACATCTTGAATGTCAGGAAGCGCCAGCCATGGGAGGGTCTAGGCAAGGTCAGGCAGGGGGAACAGCGAATGCAAAGGCTCTGAGGTTGGCATGCTTGAGGGACAGAAAGAAGGCTAGTGTGGCTGGAGTGTCATGAACAAGTTGTTGGTGATAGGGTGGGAGCCACCAGTCTAGCAAGAACAGTGTCAGGGCTTCCAGAACGCACCAGAAAGGCTACTTTAACTTGTCATGAGATGGTCTTTACTGCCTTGTGTCCAGTTTGGGAAGAATGCCCTGGTTTTATATTTCTCTTTTTAGTCATGCTCTCAGTATCTCCTGCCAGGATGGTATATTTTGGGGAGAAAGCCCCAAAGAGGTAGTGCTTCAGGTACCTGAATTTTTTAATTGCAGTTAGGTGGGAAGATGCTCGTTACAGACACTTGGATCTGTTGCTGTCTTCTTTTCAGTGCCATTTCTGTGACAAGGCCTTTATGAACCAAGCTTTTCTACAAAGTCACATTCAGCGCCGCCACCCTGAAGATTCTCACCTTGGTAAGTAATGGACTCTGTTTCAGAGTTATTCTCTTTCTGCTCCCTTTTTCTTTTTGCAATGAGACATGGTCCAATGCATTTCTCAATCCTTTGAAAAGAAAGCATCATAGTCCTTATTTATTCAGTAAGTGAATATCAAGCCCCTACTATGTCTGTGCAGGGACCTGGGTGCTGGGGATACAGCCACAAGCAAAACTGGAGTTCTGTTCTCCTAAGTCTTGCATTCGAATTGGGGGACCAAGGAGACACATTTAACCAAATGAGTCATTCTTCTCAATGGCGGCAAGTGTGATCAAGATCATAACGCAGGGGAATAGGGTGGAGAGTGACTCCGGGTGGTCAGCTAAGGCCTGGCCAAGGAGGCACTATCTATTCTGAGACCATAAATGAGGAGGAGGTTCCAGCCTGGTGAAAACCTAGGAAAAGAGTGTCCCAAGCCAAGGGATCGCCAATTGTAAGGATTGTGAGGAGCAATGGGGCTGCATGTTTGCGGAACAGCGGGAGGCCAGTGCAGGCGAGTGAGCAAGGCCATGGTGTGTGGTGAGGCTAGAGAGGTGGGACCTGCTCACGGAGGCCTTGAGGGCCCTGGGCTGGAATGTGGATGGAACGGGGAGCCCTTAGAGGATTTTTGGTAGGTGGGGACATGATCTAATCCGGACCTTAAAATGACCCCGCTAGCTGCGGGTGGACACTAGACTGTAGGGCGACAGTGGAAACAGGAGGAGCAGTGAGGAGGCTGCAGCCACAACCAGGTGAGGGAGTTGGTAGCTGGAATTCGGGTGGTCCGGAGGAGGTGGGAGGTGAAGATGGAAAGGATGCATGTGGGCCCAGAGCCCAGAGAGGTGTGACTCAGCATGACAGCAAGAGAGAAACACAGGCAATCCTGGGTTTCTGTCCTCCGTGTTTGGGTGCGTGGCAGTGATGTCTCCTGGGGTGGGCAGCAGTTTGAAGGCAGAAGGAGAATGGAGAATTTGTGTTGGCCAAGGGTATGTTGACATCACACATACAGTAGACGTGCAAGTGGGGGTGCTGGCAGGCTGCAGCTTGAGGTGGAGACCCAGGCTGGAGATCAAAGTCCAGGGCACATTCGGCTAGAGTGGGGCTGGCTGAGATCACCTCGACAGAGAAGAGAAGATGGTGAGGCCAGCCCCGAGGCTCTTCCAACACTAGGAGCTCAGGAAGAGCATTGGTGGAGAGTGAGACATAGCCTCTGTCAAGGCAGGAGGGAAACCTAGGGAGTGTGTTGTCATGGAAACCCAGGAAAAAGTATTTTAAGACGGGGGCAATGGTCAGTTGTATCCAGTGTTCCTGCAGCACAGAGTAAGGTGAAGACTGAGAATTGACCGCTGTTGTCAGGACAGTTGTTGGTGACCTTGACACAGCACTTCAGGGCACTGCAGGGGACAAAAGCCCGATTTTAGTGAGCTGAGCTGAGAATCATGAGGGAGTGGTCCTATCAGATCCAGACATTGACTTCAGTAATGTTTGCCAGGAAGGAGAGCAGAGACGTGAGGCATCATCTGGACATCGTCTGCAACCAAGGGAAAATTTTTGTTTTGTTTGATGTGGGAGATACTAAGATATGTTTGGGTGCTGATGAGAACCAGACATAGAGGGGGAAATAAAGATAGGAGAGGGGAGGGACTTGGGGCTTACTATTTAAACATTCTCGAAAGCAAAGAATGCAACGTCTCCTTCTCGTTAGCAGATGAAAGCTCTCTGCAGATTGCTGCAGCAACCCACAGAATTTCTCCTTCTGATCTTAAATGTTGGCAGTATCTAGACATGTGTGCTTGGCTTGTTACTTAGTACCTGTGTTCCCTTCCTGCCCATTTCAGGTAAAGAGATTTATTTAGGGAATAGCTAAGCTTTGTAGAAACAAAATAAACAGGATAAAATTCCATTTATAAGCCTTGGACCACTGATAAAATTGAGCAATATATTGGAAAAGTTGGAAAGATGAAATATTTTAATTAATCTATCATTCTTCAGCGTGAAACTGACCTTCTTTCTCTTCTGTTTCAGTATCTTACTCTATCTCATACTCATTCCAGAAAGGGTTTCAGACTCTGAAATGAGTATTATTTCTTCAGGTCATCTTTGAGATTCTGACATTCTACTTTGGTTTCCATACCTTTCATGTCTGCACTCACAGACACATGTATATCCATTCAGTCATGTGTACATCTGCATGTAAGTACATGTACATAAGTATTCTTCCCTTCACTTGTTGCTTCCTTTTACAACTTTTCAGTCCCTCGCTTTTGCCCCAGTTGATAGATATGGCCCGAGTTTGCCTTTCGAACGCCAGAACCAGCCCTCTGCTTGTATTAGCCCTGACCGGGTCCTTAGGAAAGTTCAGTGGGAGCCGGCAGGATGGTGCCCATAGAGACATGAGCATGGTGGTACCTGCAGTGGAAGCCATTGCTTCCCTCCTCTGATCGAAACAGGCATCTCTAAGAAGAGCTCAGGGTGCTGCTGGGCCACCATTATTGCTCCCTGAACAGGGCTCTCACACCATCCCTCTAGGATAATCCAACCTCAACACAGCGGCTAAAAGAATTTGCTAAAAATAATTGAGTGCTCCAAAATACGAAGCACTCCAGATAAACACTAAAGAGCAAAAATTGGCTCAGGTGGCATGAAACAAGTAATAATATCCCAAGCAAGAGCAGTTTCCTTTGTCCTATCAATAGGTTCGTTCCCCATAAGCTTTCAGATACCTTTCCTAAGTGTGTTAATGAGATTTTCTGTTGCAACAGAGTATAAGAAAAAGGCACAGATGGAAAAGCTTCAGGGGGAGATCGACATGTTGAAGGAGCAGCTGCAGCTCACCCAGTCTCAGTTAGAGGCCGCACAGCACTCCCACGCGGTGAGACTGTCTAAGGTAGGAGGAAGAATTTGGAAACGATGGTGTTTTAATTACAACGGACTGTATGTAATTCAGTTGTGCCATGGACTCTAATAAACAGATGACACGTAGGAGTTTGTACAACTCAATAAAATGTGATTGTATTTTCTATTGCCTGTCTACTCTTTAGTATCTCACTGCAAGGCACATCACTGGAAATATAGCTCTCTATTTTTTTAAGGTTTTTTAAATTGAGGTGAAATTTTCATCACGCACAATTTGCTGTTTTTCCCTTTTGCTTAATCTATATCTGTTTTCTTACATTATGTTTCTGTGAGTCGGAAGTCTGACCCGCTTCTCACTGGGCTAAAATCAAGGTGTCAGGAGGGCCGTGTTCCTTACTGGAGGCCATAGGAGAGAATATTTCCTGTTCATTTGGTTGTTGTCAGAATTCTGTTCCTTGCAGGTGTGGGGCTGAGGTCCACACCTTCGTGCTGGGAGTCTCCTGAGGGTGCTACTGGTTGCCTCGTAAGCTGCCCATGCTCCTTGGCTCTGGGCCCTCCTCCTCCATATTCAAAGCCACCAACAGGAGGTCGAGTCCCTCTCACCCATCAGATCTATTGTCTGTTTTCTTCCTTCTTGTCTGTTTGACCCATGTGTCAGCCCCATTGGGTGCTTGGCTGTCTTGCTCAGAGTTACTCAGGGGTAACCAAGGACTGTAGGAGGAAGGAAGGCCACACTGCATTAATTCTGACTGCTGTGGGTCATTGTGGTGGGTACCACGTATGCCATTTCTAATCCAGTAGGATTGACCTCGATGCACTTAATGCAAAATCTGAGGCCAATCAAAGAGCGTTTCTTTCCTTGTCCCTGTTGAAGTGACAGTATGCTCAGTTCTTCCTTGCTTCTCCCATGGGGACAGGAAGTATAACTTTCTAGGGGAAACAGCAGGTCGTTTCACAGAATAAGTGACAAAGCCCTCTGCCTTCCACGTGGCCTCTCTCTCTCTCTTTGTTTTAAATTGTGGTAAAATACATATAGCATAAAACCATCTTCATCTTTTTTAAGTGTACAGTTCAGTAATGTTAAGTGTATTCACGTTGTTGTGCAACCCATCTCCAGAACGTTTTTATATTGCAAAACCAAAACTGTATCCATTAAACAACAATGCTCCACTACCCCCTCCTCCCCTCCTCCCAGCCCCTGGCAGCCACCATTCTACTTTCTGTCTTGGATTTTGACTGCTCTAGATACCGTATATGAATGGAGTCGTACGGCATTTGTCTTTTTGCCACTGGCTTATTTCACTTAGCATGATGTCCTCAAGGTTTGTCTATGTTGTAGCACACGTCAGAACTTCCTTGCCCTTCAAGACTGAATAATATGTCATTGTATTGTATGCCACATTTTGTTTATCCATTCCTTGTTGTACGCTTGGGTTTCTTCCACTTCTTAGCTCTTGTGAATGATGCTGCTTATGAACATGGGTGTTCCACTGTCTCTTTGAGACAGTTAACCATTTTACAGTGTATAATTCAGTAGCATTTAGTATATCCACAGTATTGCACAACTACCAGCTCTCTAGTTTCAAAATTTTTTTCAGCAGCCCAGAAAAATAACCTATACCCATTAAGTAATCACTCCCACTATTCCTCTGGTAACCACTAATCTTTATGTCTCCAAAATTGCCTGTTCTGCATGTATCACACACAAAAAAACGATGTAACGTGTGACCTTTTATGTCAGGCTTTTTTCAGTTGGTGTAATGTTTTTGAAGTTTATCTAAGTTGTAGCATGTATCAGTACTTTGTTCTGCCTTATTGCTGAATAATATAGTCCATTGTGTATATGTAGATACCATAATTTGTTTAGTCAGCCATCTGCTGGTAGACATTAGGTTTGTTTCTACCTCTTGGCTGTGATGAATAATGCTGCTATAAACATTTGTCTGGAAGTTTGTATGTGGACATTTTTCTTGAGTATATACCTAGGAGTGAAATTGCTGGATCATACGGTAATCCTATGTTTAACTTTTTGAAGAACCACCGAACTGTTTTCCACATTAGCCACACCATTTTATGTTTCCACCAGTAGTGTTCATATTTCTTCACATTTTCATTAACGCTTGTTATGCTTTTTTGTTTTCTTAAAGCCATCCTAGTGGGTGCGAAGTGGTATCTCATTGGAGTTTTGATTTTTTCACTTCCTTAATAACCGGTGATGTTGAACATCTCTTCATGTGCTGTTGTTCATTTCTATATCTTTCTTTGCTAATATTTTTATTTATTTATTTTTAAATTTTTTTAAATTTCAAAATAGTAAGGGGTTACAAATGTTTCTGTTACACAGATACCTTGTATAACGCTTAAGTCAGGGCTTTTAGTATGCCCATCACCAAATTTCTGTGTCTTATTGGGAGAAATGTGTATTCAAGCCTTTTGCCCATTTTTTAATTGGGTTGTTTGGTTTTTTTTTTTGTTCTTGAGTTGTAAGAGTTCTTTATAGACTCTGATAGTTGCATAGGTTTTGCTCTCATATTTAGATCATTGATCCATTTTGAGGTAATTTTTGCATATAGAGGGAGGGAGCTAGTGGTTCAGCTTTATTCTTTTGCATGTGGTTATCCACTTGTCCCAGCACCATTTATTGAAGACGTTAATTTTTTTCCATTGAATGTTCTAGGCACCCTTGTTAAAAATCGGTTGGCATAGATGTTTGGGTTTGTTTCTGGACTCTATTCCATTCCATTGGTCTTTGTGTCTATCCTTATGCCAATATCACATTATTTTGATTACTGTGGCTTTGTGGTAGTCTTTGAAATTGAGAAGTGTGTGTCTTCCAACTTTATTCTTCTTCAGTACTGTTTTAGTTACTTGGGACTCCTTGCAGTTTTGTGTGATTTTGAGGACTGGCTTTTCCATTTCTGCAAAGAAGGCTATTGGAATGGGATTACCTTGAATCTGTGGATTGCTTTGGAGAGTAATGCCATTTTAGCAATATTAATTCTTCTAATATATAAATATGGGATGTCTTTCCATTTATTTAAGTGTTCTTTAATTTTTACAACAATGTTTTATATTTTTCAGTATATAAGTCTTTCACCCTTTAGGTTAAATTTATTCCTAGGTATTTTATTCTTTTGGATGCTATTGTAAATGGAATTGTTTTCCTCATTTCCTTTTTGGATTGATCATTGCTGGCATAGAGAAACAACTAGTTTTTGCATGTCAACCTTGTACTCTGCAATTTTGATGAATGTTTATTACTTTAGTAGTTTTTTTTGTGTGTGTGGGTTCTTTCTATGTGAATTTCTTTAAATGTTTGGTAAAATTCACCAGTAAAGCCAACAGGTTCTGGACTTTTCTATTTTGGAAGGTTTGTGATTACTGAGTGTAACTCTTGTTGAACGTATGTTGACATTTTCTTTTTCTTCTTGAGTCAGCTTTGGTGATTTTTATGTTTCTAGGAATTTGTCCATTTTGTCTAGATTATCTAATTTGTTGTTATACAAGTTCATCATATTCTCTTACAATCATTTTAATTTCCCTAAGGTCAATAGTAATGTCCTCACTTTGATTTCTTAGTCAGAGTAGCTAAAGGTTTGTCAATTTTGTTGATCTTTGCAAAGATCCAACTTTTGGTTTCATTGATTCCCTCTTTTGCTTTTCTGTTTTCTATTTTATCTTTGCTTTAATCATCATTATTTCCTTCCTTCTGCTGGCTTTGGGTTCAGTTTGCTCACCTTTTTCTAGTATCGTAGGGTATAGAGTTAGGTTATTGATTTAAGATCTGTCTTCTTTTTAAGTATAGGCTTTTATAGCTATAAATTTCCCTGTGAGCACTGATTTTGCTGCATCCCGTAAGTTTTGATATACTGTATTTTCATTTTCATTCTTCTGAAAGTATTTTCTAATTTCCTTGGTGAGATTTTCTTCGACCCATTGGTTGTTTAAGAATGTGTTGTTTAATTTCCATGTATTTGCTAGTTTTCCAGTTTTCCTTCTGTTATTGGTTTCTGGTTTCATTGTATTGTGATCAGAGAAGATTCCTCACATGATTTTAATTTTTTTGAAATTTGAGGAACACTTTATGGACTAACATTTGGTCTCTCCTGGTGAATGTTGCAGGTGCATTTAAGAAGAATGCATATTCTGACATTTTTGGGTGTAGTGTTCTGTGTATGTCTGTTGGGTCTAGTCCGTTTATAGTGTTGTTCAAGTCCTCAATTTAGATTAACAAAACCCTGTCATTGAGAAATCAAGTGCTGAGCAAGTAGACCTTGAATCTAGCACGTATAAATCTGAATTTGTATTTGCTGGGGGTGGGATGGGGTTACTCTATCCAAACTGATACACTGCCAGGAAAGATTCTGCTACTGCTCAGTAGACTTTCTTTTAAAGTATGTTTACATTTTACATATTAATGTATGACTTCATACAAGTTCACAGAACACAGAAAGCTGGAGACCTTGGGCCTCTGGGTTTGTTGGTATTTTAAGTGATACAAGGACAGGAGGATGATGTGTGCTGCCTTTAGTGTAGCAAAATCATTGTGCACAGATCTGCCATTACAGAAAGTGGTATTAGAAGCCTAACTCGAATAAGCAATACTAGCCAACACATTTGAGGTGAGCCTACGACCATTTATTTTAAATATTGCATATTTGCCTCATACCAGAACTTTTAAAGCCATGTTTTAAAATAATTTCAGGAATATGAAATGCAAAAAACAAAAGAGCAAGACTTTCTGAAGTTATTTGATAGATGGAAAGAAGAAGAAAAGGAGAAACTGGTTGATGAAATGGAAAAAGTCAAGGAGATGTTTATAAAGGAGTTTAAAGAATTAACTTCCAAGAATTCAGCATTAGAATACGTGAGTATTAAACATAGAAGTTCTCACGGTATTGGTTCCCTTGGGAGTGGTGTTAGGTAGGCATTATGGCCAGAGGATGCAGGGGTTACTTTACGGTGCCCTCGTGCAGACATCCTCCTCCCTGAGAGTCTTGAGGGAGCGTGAGGCACACAGGAGACAGAGTAAGTCCGAGATGTCATTTTGCTAAGGGTGGCAGCTTTGGCCCAAACCCCCGTGCGGAACACTGGTGGGATGCATTTGGTCAGATCATAGAAGAGGGTTCCTCTTTTCTTATCTGGTTAGGTTAGCCTTGAACCCTAAACTCCTCTCTGAGTTTTGGAACTTCCCACTGTCTTGTGGGAGGAGAAGGAAGCGGATCCAGAGAGAAAGAGCCAGAACCTTTGCCTGCCCCTCCTCACCCAGGCCTGGCTGTTGAGGAAGAAGCAGGATATGGCTAAATGAGCCCCCTTCTTGAGGGGGAACAGCCCTGGTCCACACTGCCCTGGTCACATGCACGGATGATGCCTGAGCTCCTTCCTCAGAAAGCAGCCGATCAATGTCCTCCCATGAATTGCCAGCTCACCTGCAGGTTTGATGTGAGTCTTTATGGAAAACGAAGGGAGCTGAGCGAAGGTCCTTGAGCGCCCTCTAGGGGCCAACAAATTCTGTAACTAAAAATAGAGGGATATTTTTGGAATTCTGCTAAGGTCGTTCTCTAAAACTCCATCATGGGGGTGGGCGAACTATGGCCCATGGACCAAATCTGTCACACCACATGTTTTCGTATGGCCTGAGAACTATGAATGGTTTTTACATATTTAAATGGTTGGAAAAGACGAAGACTATTAAGAGACTCATGAAAATTACATGAAATTCACATTGCAGTGTCCATAAGTGAAGTTTTATTGGGATACAACTGTGCTCATTCATTTACACTCTGTCTGTGGTGCTTTTGTGCCAGAGCAATAGTGTTGAATGTTTTGTCTGAGACCTTGTGTCATAAATCTATATGATTTATGACTGTCAATGTTGACCATGATCACCTGGATGAGGTAGTGTTTATCAGGTTTCTCCACTGAAAAGTGACTCCTTTTTCCCCCTTTCCATACTGTACTATTTATGTATTTATTTTTGAAACAGGATATTGTTCTGTTACCCAAGCTGGAGTGCAGTGGCCTCATCATAGCTCACTGCAGCCTTGAACTCCTGGGCTCAAGTCATTAACTTGCCTCAGCCTCCCGAGTAGCTGGGACTATGGGCATGCACCACCATGCGCAGTTAATTTTTTTGTAGACCTAGGGTCTCACTATGTTGCCCAGGCTGGGCTCAAACTCCTGGGCTCAAATGATCCTCCCACCTGCCCCAGCCTCCCAAAGTGTTAGCATTACAGGTGTGAGCCACTGAGCCCGGCTCATTTTAAAATGAAGGCACTAGGAGCAGCCCACACTTAAGGAGTAAAGAAATATGCTCCCCCATCCTTTTGTTTTTGAAGTTAATATTTTACCTTCTGTGGTTTTCTGAGGGTTTTTGCTACAAGTAACTTTGGGAATAACATCGAAAGCAAAGGGTAAAGTTGAAATGTCATGTCCCTGATGGATATACTGATGTCATCCCTGGACCGTGTTGGCCTCTCACTAAATTACAGTATCTTAAGAACCATCTGTACCCAGTTCTTCTGTTTCTGGCACCTGTCATGTGCCCATCAAATTTTTTAAGACCTGTTGTCTAAGAAAGTAGGTTTTCCTTTCCCATTTTCACTCTGTACATGTTCTGATGGAAAAACCAGAAAGCAGTAGAAACAAGCCAGTCAAACCATGGGGACGGGGATGGAGGGGGCACAAGGAGCATCCCGGAGGACAGTCAGCTGTAAACTGTGGCTGCAAGCACCCCAGTTTTATTCTCTGTTCCAGTCCTACAAAAAGTCTAACATTCGTACTGGTGGTCTTGAATTTTATCTTATAGCAACTGTCAGAAATCCAGAAGTCCAATATGCAGATCAAGTCCATCATAGGCACATTGAAAGATGCACACGAGTTTAAAGAAGGCCGTTCTCCATACCCCCAGGATTTCCAAAATGTGATGCAGCTTCTCGATAGTCAGGTATGTAGAAGTGGGTGCCCACGGCAGTCCATGCCTTCCTTTTTCTTAGTGGAGTGATTCACAGTGAACGTCGTCTGGAGAAAAAGTGTTTGTCTCTTTCAGTGACCGTGAAGGTGACTAGCTCCTTATTTATTGTCTCCTAAAACGTGGCTAAGCTATAAGAGGCGCTCATTACACGCTTGCTGTGTGTACTAGTAGATGTGGATACAAAACAGTTGGCAAAACGATTTCATTTCTTCCCTAACGTAATGCCAATTTGAATTAGTTAGGATTACCTTGGTATTTATGGTTTCATATTTTAGATGTAGCTATTTCAAAACGCATAGAAAAGCATATTAACGCACCAGATTTCTTTTTAGAGCTTAAATATACCGCTACATTGGTGAACTGAGGATCTTTTACATTTATCAAACGTAATAACTTTCATTTGGAAGTGAACCCCTGTCATCAGCACAGTTTTCATAAGGGCTATTTTGGTCACAGTGGTTTAGAGGAACAATTTTTTTTTTTTTTACCAGGAAACAAATAGAGATTAGACTTTATGAATCTAAGATTTAAAAAAAATAAGCCTATGCCATTATAAAAAAGAGAAATGGGTTTTGGAAATAGGGACCGCTGCTTCTTGCTTTTCATGTCTGCATCTTGCTACCCTCCACCAAATCTGCCTTCTCCATTGCAGCCAGGCTGATCACGTCCCTGTCCTGTCTAAAGTCCTTCAGTGACCTCCCGTTTTCCACAGCGGGAAGCACAGAATCCTTAGCATGCAGGGCCCTTCGAGGTTTGGACCCTGCGGCCATCTCCCAGCGTTCTTTGCTTTCCTGGTGCTGGAGGGGCCCCGGCAGCCTGAGCCTCTGAGAGCACAGTGTTCTGTCTTCTGCCTCTGCTCCGGCTGCTTTCTTGCCTGTCACGTGTCTCCCAGTTTTCAGGACCCGTCTCTTACTCATCCTTCAATGTTCAGCCAGGATGGTTTCTCTTCCAGAGAGTTCTCCTGAACCTCAGGCTATAGCATTTCTGTAGCGCCCTGAGTGGGACCTGAGCACATACATACTATATAGGAGTCGTGTCCACTTTCCTCCTGTGCAGAGCGGGGCCTGTCTCTTAATCCTTCTGTAACCTGCCAGTGGCCGCCCAGCAAAGTGCCTTGTATATGGTGTGAGACCAGGAGCTGTGTCCTGAACTGAATTGTGACAGTCACTCCCAGCAGGCTGGAAACCACAGCTTTTCTCTCATGAATTGAAAGGACATGGTTATGAAATCCTAAGGTCCCACCTACATTTTTTTCTGTTACCTTCCTGTGAGCTGTGTTGTCAGTGGACTCAGAAGAAACCTTGGTGTTTCCTTTTGGCCGCTTAGGTTGGCAAACTAGCACCTATTTCTATAAATAAAATGTTATTGGGACTCAGTCACACTCACTCATTTGCATCTTTTTTTGTTTTTAATTTTTCTTTTGTTTTTTTGAGATACAGTCTTGCTCTGTCACCTAGACTGGAGTGTAGTGGTGCAGTCATAGCTCATTGTAACCTGGAATTCCTGGGCTCAAGCAGTCCTCCTGCCTTAGCCTCCTGAGTAACTGGGACTACAGGTGCGTGCCACCATGCTTGGCTAATTTTTAAAATTTTTTGCAGAGAGAAAGTCTTACTATTTTTGCCCGGGCTGGTCTCGAATTCCTGGCCTCAGGTGATCCTCTGCCTCGACTTCCCAAAGTGCTGGGATTCCAGGCGTGAGCCACCACACCCGCCTGGCACCTTACCTATGCCTGTTCTCTCACTACCAGTAATTGAGACTGTTATTTGGCCCCAGAGCCTAAAATATTTACTATTAGGGTTTTTTTTTTTTTTTTTTGAGACAGAGTCTCACTCTTTGGCCCGGGCTAGAGTGAGTGCCGTGGCGTCAGCCTAGCTCACAGCAACCTCAAACTCCTGGGCTCAAGTGATCCTTCTGCCTCAGCCTCCCGAGTAGCTGGGACTACAGGCATGCGCCACCATGGCCAGCTAATTTTTTCTATGTATTTTTAGTTGTCCGATTAATTTCTTTCTATTTTTTTTAGTAGAGACGGGGTCTCGCTCTTGCTCAGGCTAGTTTCGAACTCCTGAGCTCAAACAATCGCCCGCCTCGGCCTCCCAGAGTGCTAGGATTACAGGCGTGAGCCACCGTGTCCGGCCGACTATTAGGTTTTTAATAGGAAATCTTTGCTGACCCCTGCCTTACAACATAAGAGTAAAACCAGGTGCAGCTGTGTTTAAACATTTTTGACTGGATATATACTAAAAAATACCAGCTAAAATTTTACCAGATAGGTATTTGGGTTTCATAGGTACCCGCGGAAAAGGAAGCTTCCATTTTGTGTAGGTTTTACTGTTACAATTGCACGTAAATTACTCTTTTATTCCTTTGTAGGAAAGCAAGTGGACAGCACGAGTTCAAACTCTTCAACAAGAACACAAGAAAGAGAAGGATCGGGTAAGACCAAGAAATCAGTGGCCTATAAATGGGTCATTTTTGAAAAGAATATTTGTTTTTCTTCATATGAAAGGTAGTATTTGTCCACTTAAGATTTGTGGAGAAATGTGTAACAAAATTAAAATTATTTATAATTCCAATACCAGAGGTACCACTGCTGCTACTTTGATATAATTTTTCAGCTTTTTTTCTATGCTATCTATGTTGCATTTCTGTAAGTATAGAACCACATATATATATAGTCTTACAGCATTTAAATTATGCTTTATATCTAAATTTTCTATACTTTTCACTTAATATACCATAAACCTTTTCCTATGTTTTAAAAGAGGGATGGGGAAACTTTTCATGTTGGAAGGCCACATTAATTTAGCTATAATCAAATAAGGCTACATTCAAGGAACTTCAATTAGATATACTTAAAAATGTACATTATTTTGTAAAAATCTATTATGTACTTAATTTCAGAAAATGAAAACTATTTGTTAATTTTAAAGTTAATTAACCTTTTAATTACTTTATTGTGTCTGCTTTTTGTTGGAAAGGATTTGAATACTTGGTTGCAGCACGGAGGTCTGCAGTTTCAGTTGATCCTCTAGATGGGTATCAGTCACTTGTGACCTTAAGGGTGTCTTCATTTGAGTTAGGGAGGAGAATGTAGATTCACAGCAATAAGTGGTTGAAAAGCAAGAAAGCATTTTTCAGGCATGTTGCTGAAAGTGCGGGTATTCTGCATTTTTCCACATTTCAATTGGATTTTTCTCAGGTTCAGACAATGACTTTAAAATGTCATCTGCTGAGATCTCAATCAATTCCATTTGTAGTTCTTTAGGCGCCTTGGTGATATCAACTAGGTGAGGCTGAAATGCTAATTCGAGTGTGATGTCACGATTCTCAAAGTCAGTGAAACTTTCATTGAATTCTCCAATTAACAGGTCTATAACAGCTGTGTATTCTTCAAATGATTCACATATATCATCCTGCTCATCAATGACCTTTGCTAAGTAGGGAAGATGTTGATCCAAAATTTCCTTTTGAAGAAGTTTTGAAAAAAGGCAGCTTATTATGAAATGTTTGGATTTTTTGCCATATATCATTTATAGACTTTGTTTTACCTTGCAAAGAAATATTTATTTTGATTTGACATATCACATAGAAATGGTACGTTCCTATAGAAATCTTCTTTTAATAATTCATATTGCTGATTCTGTTCTTCATAAAATTTAACTATCTGTTCTAGCAGAGATAAAATTTTGGCTGAGACCTGTCCCAGGGATAGCCAATGCACTTCAGAATGCTAGGGCGAATCCACACTGAATACCTCATTGTTCAACTTTAGCATGTTATGAAACTGATGATGCCGTGTTGCATTTGCATAAATATAGTTAACAATACTTCTAACTTGTTGCAAAGTGTCACTTAAAATAGTAGCTTTAGCACAGAGATTTTGCTGATGCTATCTTGCATCTATGAAAAAAAATGAGGACATCTGGCTCTATTAACACTTTTATATCCGTGCAATAAACCTTTCACGTTTTCCTGTCATGGAAAGTGCACCGTCTGTACATACACTCACTAAATTTACCAAATTCAGTCCAACTTCACGACATTCATCTTGAAAGTTGTTGAAGATCTCTATTCCTAGTGTTCTGTCCCAAGAGTGCCCAAAGCAAGTAACTCTTCGTAGCAAAGAAAATCTTCTGTTATGACCTGAATAAAGTATAAAATCTGCGCCGTCAGTAGTATCAGTTCATTCATCCAAAGTGATTGAGTAATATATGTTTTCCTTTTGAAGTATTGCATGAAGTTGTTCTGTTAAGTTGAAGGCTAATTCATGCTGCTGATCAGTTGTGGTTCTCCTTGGAAGAACCAACAAAGCGGTTGTTTGTACTTTGAAACTTTATCGGGGTCTAAGCATCCTACAACTTTAACAATGCATTCTTTTACAATTTCTGCATCACCGAATGGCTTCTCTTTTTTTCTGAGTATATAAGCTACTTTATACATTGCTTCAGTGGCGTTATTTCCAGGTCTTATTGCTGCTTGAAAGAATTGTCTTTGCTTTTGCTTTTCATCTTTTAATTTCTGCAATACAACCTTTCACGCATCTCCAATTTAAAATATTTGTTGCCCTTATGAGTATTACAATGCTAATGAGCATGAATTTCTTTAATGTTGATATTGCAGTATCACAAAACAAGCAAATAATCTTATCTTTAGCAGAAACAAGATAATATTGCAATTCCCAATCCTCATTTAAAAAAATGTTTTCTTCCTTCAACGTTCTCTTGGTCTTCTTTGACATGATGGGCTGTTAAGCAGACAGAATTAAAAAATACTGTTGAGCTGTGTGACTGTCCACAAATTCCACTTCAGATAGAAACACAGTGCACTGTTGTCAAAAGCTGTTAACAGACCAGCAAACTCCACCCGCATAAACTCTCTCCAACCAGCCTCATGCGGTAGTGGTGCCAGTCAGGCGGGGGAAGTGAGAACTAAGTCATGAGCGTAGCAGGTGTTGATTTAGCCCTTATGGCTTACTAATGTTCTAATTGTGCTGGTCAATCTGGGAGGATTATCTATTTGAAACTTACTTTATTCTTTGGTATTTTAAATACATTCATTTAAAAAATAAAATAAAACTATAAAAGATGAACAAAAATGTATGAA